CTGTCGATTAGTTGTCCTACGGCTATTGTCTGCGATGGACATTACTCTAAGGAAGCGTACGAAAATTGTAATGGTGTAAGAACACTCAGGATAGCTTTACCAGTGAGCAAATCAAAGTAATATAGACTGTACAGGAAATTCTCCTGATTTAAATCCAATCGAAAATCTATGGTCAATCTGCAAGGAACGACTTCGTGGAATGGACATACGAAGTACTAACATGTGCACTGGATCATGTTTCATTGGAAAAATACGAAAAAAAAGTAAATAATAACGGAATTATTCGTTTTGTTTCAATTAATTTTCACAAGGGTGTTATTACAGTTTTTTGTGTATATGTATATAGATATGTAACTAGTGAGTTAGTCCAAATGACTTAACTCCCTTTATAGTCCACCAATAGAAGGTTAACCAATCAGAAGACGTAGAACATCAATTCGCCGTGTATAAAGGCGGCCATTTTTGTTCACTCTAGCCGAATGTCCAGTTCAGCTTGTCAGGCGAAGAGAGCCAGAAAGACGAACTATGCTCTGCTACTTTTACCAAAATATCCACTGCTAACCTGAACAACGCTTTCCTACTGTCTTCGAAATATTCACTGCTAACCTCTGGATTCTATACTCGAAGACGACCGTCATGATGTATAACATATATGAATTCTAAAAGTGTAAATTAGTCATTGAGACTCGCAACATGAATGAATGTGGCCCGTATCGTTGCGAAAAAAGTTAAAATCATCACTATCCTCTAATCATTAAGGAAGCGTTTCGGGGTTAATTTTATTAATTATTTTGAGTTGCAGGTTATTGCTGGGGTGGGTGGGGGAAAGTTAATGAGTTCGACTGAGTGGCCGGCACTCTCCTCACACCGCCGGCTTCCTTTCTTTGGGGACTCAAATATACGGGATAGATACATCAAGGGATGCCATTGGAAACGCAATACCTCATCGATGCAAACACGTGCGAACAAAGTTGAACGTAAATTGCGTAAAGCCAAAGTTCAATAATATCAACGATTACAACGTTGCCTTGTTCTGAAAAAAAAAAAAAAAACAAAAAAAAAACAAAGAAAAAGAAAAAAAACATTCCCATTGCTATGGATATATGTAGATAAAAAATCTCCATATTCAGTTAAAAATTAAATAAAATAACACTAACGTCACGGATATATTGAATAGTTGGACAGTTTTAAATACTTTATATCCAGAAAAGTAAATACTCGTCTGCAAGAAAAATAGACTAAAATGCTTAATCGCAATAACTTGTCAATCGGCTTTGATGAAAATTTTATAAATGAGAATGTTTAAGTTCCTAGGAACCGATAGCCAGACACTTAGATGATTTGATTATCGTAGTGAAGGCTTTATATAGAACAAATCACACTTTTTGAAGGGCCGAATACAGAGACCTGGTGACACAAGGTCTCCAAACGACCCTCCGCAAGTTTTGAATTCAAAGTTGGCCTTCTTCTAGACCTGCTGCCATCCAAGGCTTTAGAACCCAGTCTGTCCGGCTATTTACTCATAGCTGGACGGAAAAGAAGGGGATTCATACCTTTTCCAAGGTTATGAGCACGTAAGTGAATGTAATGGATTCGGCTGGAATTTGACCCTGTTTTATATATATATATGTAGATATATATATATATTTATATATTTGTGTGTGTTTGTGTGTGTGTGTAAAAATACTGACAACACAACAAAGGACTTCATCAGGAAAAAAATGGACAAATGGTCAAGTCAATGACCAGACCGTAACCTAACAGAGCATGAATTCCAACTGCATTTCAACTGCATTTCAACTCCCCAAGAGGAGACTGAAAAAGCAAGTTGTCCAGAAAAGAAAATACTTGTATGCAAGACAAATAGATTAAAATGCTTAATCGAAGTAAGTTTTCAATCGACTTTGATTAAACTTTTAAAAATGAGAGATGCCTCCTGAAATACACACACACACACACACACACATATATATATATATATATATATATATATATATATATATATATATATATATATATATATATATATATATATAAATATAGATATATATATATAAGAACTTAATGATGCGGAACAGTTGAAACAAAGAATAGGAAATCAGCCGATTACGCTACCTTGCATTTAACATTTCGGCATCATTAACTTCTTTATTATTATTATTATCATATATATATATATATATATATATATATATATATATATATATATATCATAGTTTAAAATGTATTCGATCAATCCTCATCTAGTTTAAAAAGATAATTCTCATTGTTACAAAGAGGAGCAACTTTCTTTTAGTAGAGACTCCGATTTGTAAAATATTCCCAGTATGAGTGCAGAAAAAAAACTATTTTCTCTTGTGATTCTTCCTGATACAGGTCACTGGGTACACAATCGTGACGTCAGTTTTTCGCCGAAGGCAGTGTGTGTCAAGAGTCGTGAAATACTCTAATGATCATATATATATATATATATATATATATATATATAAATATATGTAAAATGATAATGTAAATCGTATAATCGACAAGTTGCCATTAATTTTCGCATTAATGCATGATGGATATGACAGTTGATAGGAGTGGCGAAGGGTCATCGGGTATCGAGGAGAATGGCCACAATCCATGTCAATTTTTCTGGTCACCGAGTTGGTGGTCAGCGAATTCTGCGACAAAGATTTTTTCGCGCCAAAACTAAAGATGGCGCCAGTAGGCGATGCCTTTGTCGCTTTCCTTTATTTTTGATTGATATATTATTTTTGATTGATATCAAACTGGGTGACTGGTTCTGTCTGTCCTGGTGTTCAAACCACTTATTCGATACATTTCTCTTTTCATTTTATCGCTACTCCTAACTTGTTCCATATATAACATTTTGTCGGATTTGCTAGTGATTGCGGGCGAATTTATTAGGCAGGAATGAAAATAACAAAAACAATTTAAAATTGGTCTCCATGTATATTTACAATTAAAAAAACAAACTGTGTTTATAAAACCAAGAAAAATTGATTGCAAATTTGAAAGAGAATTCCTAATTTCTTTTCCTATGTTTTCCTTTTTTTAAAATGTTTCCCTTCATTTTTTTTATTGGTTTAAATCAGTCAACCTAATTTCTTGCATCTGGATAGCATTTGATAAAGGAAGAGGCTATATTGCTGGCCCCGGTAAAATAGACAAACATGTCTTTAAGCCTATTTTACCGGTCTCGGTAAAAATAGATCCCTAGACTGTTTTGCTGGTAAATAATTTTATTATTATGAAGACAGGTAATATTAAAAATAACAACACACAGGTTTAACACAGAAGTTTATTTATTTTCACCATTAATCGATAACCCGCTTTACCGGTGGTAGAGAAAAATGACGTAATGCCCAAACACAGGTTGAACAGTGGTAGAAGAAAATGACTTAATGCCCAGCTGACAACTTAACATGACGCAATTGATTCGGCCAGAAATTTGGAATCGGCATGGTGTACTGCTTGGAATTCGTGCCGGAAGCTGCAATACGAACATTTCAGAGTGTTTTGATGTCAATCCGAGGGAAGTACAGAGGATTCGGAAAGAGTTGGATGATTTCTCCAGTCATCATCATGATGTTTTGGAGTGGTCACTAGTGATGACGACGTTATGTCTCCATTCATCTTCAGGCTGAGTGTGAGGCCCTGTGGTATCCGCACTTTACACCTATCTCCCCAGACTGCAACCTATTTGATTATTATCTGTGGAGCACAGCTGAGCAAGAGACCAACAAAATTCCTTGTAACACCAGAGAGGAACTGAAGGCAAAGATTATGACAGCATCCACCAAATTAAACAAGGAGACCGTCCAGTAGAGTTGCAGGAGATTCTGAAGTTTTCTGGTGGCCGTGGTTGGAGACAATGGCGATTTTATTGAAAATTTAGTGTTTCAAGATATTTTTGAGTAATTTTGGTAAATATATCTGTTAAAATGAGATTATTTGCATCATTTAGACGACAATTTATCAATCGACCCTTGTATTTCTGTTAAAATGAGATGGTAGTGTTATTTTTCATTTTTTGCGTCATTTAGACGACAATTTATCCATCGCACCTTGTATTTCTGTTGAGATGACGCAAAAAAAAAAATGAAAATGACACGATTTTCATTTTTGTGTGTGTGTGTGTGTGTGCGCGCTCGCGCGTGTGTGTGTCATTTAGGCGACAATTTATCCATCGCACCATGTGTCTCTGTTAAAATGAGATGTCCGTGTCATTTTCATTTTTTGCGTCGGCTAGACGACAATTTATCCATCGCACCCTGTATTTCTGTTAAAATGAGATGTCCGTGTTATTTTCATTTATAGTCTTTATTTGACGACAATTTATCCATCGCACCCTGTATTTCTGTTAAAATTCGATGTCCGTGTTATTTTCCTTTTTAGTCTTTATTTGACGACAATTTATCCATCGCGCCCTGTATTTCTGTTAGAATGAGATGTCCGTGTTATTTTCATTTATAGTCTTTATTTGACGACAATTTATCCATCGCACCCTGCATATGAAATTGTTTTGAGAAAAAGAATTACAAATATTATTTATTTTAGCAGTAAAGTATTTACCATCGGCTTTTGTTCTTTCTTCCCTGATTTTATTTTCTTTGTGAATCTTTTAACGACCGGCTTTTTCATGGTGGAATAGATTAAATTCTTTATCGTTTTCATTTTTTCTCTTTTATTTATTTCGATTTAGTTTTTGTTTTGATTTCAATCGCCCCCTCCTCCTTGAAGAGAAGGATTGGTTGTCTTTTGCTCTTGCTCTGTATTGCAGCGATGAGTGTGTGCGACTTTACCGTCAATGCTTCCCACACGTTGCAGACATTATGGCGGGAGAAAAAACAGGGGAATACAGCGCCAAATATTCCCACACATGATCTGCTTTGGGCGTTCGCAGAACTTGTTTTCTCTTGCTTCCTCGCCAATCTTTATCTTCTTTTAAACGCCGTCGTTTCACTCACGTAACGAAGATACGGGCACGGAGGGTTTATGGCCATATCACGTTGAAACACCGTTTCCCGTACGATGACCGAAGTTAAGCGGCGTCAAGCCTGGTCAGTACCTTGATGCGTGACCGCTGAGGAATACTATAAGCTTGGATGTGCGGGTGGTGTAATGTATAACGGGAATTGTTAATCGGTGAGCCGAGTTCTAATTCCCGTTGGGTTATTTATATTCATTTACGCGCATATACCGTTGGGAGAGGCATGAATCCACCTCTTCTACCCACCAGCTATGGGTTAAGAATATTTTCTACCTTTAAATAACCTGAAAAAGGTTGATATGATGTTAAACAAAAAGAAACGCTCATCTACAGACACCGAATCCATCGCTCAATTTAAGGCCCGACGACGACGACGACGAAGAAGAAGAAGAAGAAGAAGACCACAGAAAAGAAGACGACGATGACGACGACGACAAAGAAGAAGAAGAAGAAGAAGAAGAAGAAGAAGAGGGTAGGAAGAAGAAGAAGAAGAAGACCACAGAAAAGAAGACAACGACGACAAAGAAGAAGAAGAAGAAGAAGAAGAGTAGGAAGAAGAAGAAGACCACAGAAAAGAAGACAACGACGACAAAGAAGAAGAAGAATAGGAAGAAGAAGAAGAAGAGTAGGAAGAAGAAGAAGACGACCACAGAAAAGAAGACAACAACGACAAAGAAGAAGAAGAGGAAGAAGAAGAAGAAGAAGACCACAGAAAAGAAGACGACGACAAAGAAGAAGAAGAAGAAAAAGAAGAATAGAAAGAAGAAGAAGAAGAAGAAAGAAGACGAAGAAGAATAGAAAGAAGAAGAAGAAGACCACAGAAAAGAAAACGACGACGACGACGACGACGACGAAGAAGAAGAAGAAGAAGAAGAAGAAGAAGAAGAAGAAGAAGAAGAAGAAGAAGAAGAATAGGAAGAAGCAGAAGAAGACCACAGAAAAGTATACGACGACGATGAAGACGTTGACGACGACGGCGACAAAGAAGAAGAAGAAGAAGAAGAAGAAGAAGATATACCTTAAAAATATATTGAGATACTTTTCGAGATGGACCATGAATAAAACATATCGTAAATTGCAGCGTCTAAAAAGGACTCTTGTTGCCTTTTTTTTTCCGGTTTACAAGACGCTGCGGCTTGGAAGACGCACCCTAATACTGGAAAGAAATTTCAGAAAAGAAAAAGTCATTCTTATACAACAACACATTCACGATACGTCCCTCACATATTGGCCCCTCGAATTGTTTACATTAATCACTCGTCTGATTTTGTTTGTATGGCAATGACATATTAGTCAAAAGCAGAAAGGTTCGCGCTGTTGCTAAGCATGTTTAAGCTTATGTTTCGGCTCCAGTAAAGTTTATAGTCTTGGAAATACTTGTAACAGCTAAGTTACATCATATAAAGGGCTGAATTAGATAGTTAGCTAACATTATAGTATAATGAGTCAACATACAAACCCACGTCCCTATCAGTCAGGCTAATTAGGTGACAGACAAGCTTACCTGAGCTTGAGTGTTCCCTTATATTCGTCTTGAAAGACACACACGTATTTTTCATGGTATTTTTTCGGAAAAAAAGTGCGTTTTGGAAGCCGAGAAATACAGTAATTTTCGTTGATAAAGGACACAGATGTGTCCGAAAATTCCGATTCTAAAAATTTATTGGCCTAATCCTGCCAAACCCGTTAAAAAATATCCAAACTGCCAGTTGTATATAACCACTTTTTGAAATCAATGGTTAAAAATGGCGACGAACGAGTGAACCCTGCGGATCATGGCGACTTTTGATTTGATATTGTAGGCGATTTTGCAGTTTTCTTTTCAAGTGTTCTGCTATCATTATTGTGTCATATGCATATCGATAGGACTTCTAATTCTCTCAGAATCGCCTCGTTGTTTAGACTGAATAAGTTAAATCGTTAAATCAAGAATGGTGGTAGATATTAATTTGTCGCCCAGCGAATGCAAATTTTACATATTTTAACAGGAGATTGCCACCTACAAACCCAAGTCTAGGATTTAGATGAAAAGAGGCCCTAGGCTATTCTATTTGTGAGGCCCTCTAAATCCCCCATTCTCAAGAGTAGAGGAAAATGAATGAGTATTAAACAATTTTATTAAAGCCTCGATGACGGTTGTTTAAAATTACTGGAGGGTTGTTTAGCATCGACAATGCGTTATGACATCATGTGGGAGAAAGACCTATGAGAAAAATATTATACAACGTCACTGGAGGTCCCCTAGATTTTGAGACCATACGCTTCAGCCTGCTAAGTCTATAGGTATATCAGGAACTGCCTAAGTTTTTTTTCGGGTTTTCTACCAGCTACTGTCGTCGGTATTAGGTCATAACCCCGCTCGTATACTTCTGAGATGAAATGGTGCTACCTGGGTAAAAGTACCCTTCGTATAAGGTTTCAGTCTAGTGTTATTGGCTTAGTGTCCTTGTAGGGCTGACGAACCCAGGAATAAAGCTTATCGTGTTAAGCTCGAATAGACACACCATTTTTTTTTTCTTTTAATATCTTGTGTAGCAATCGCGACGACACACGAAAAGTTTTTCCATGTATGCGAAATTAGCGAGATTAACTATTTCAGCAAGTTGAAGGCAGCCGCAGTTACGCCCCTTTATCACCACGTGAAGTTGTATGCGTATAGCGAACGGCTAAGAGGTCACTCGGTGCATTCTCATCCCAGTCTCCGCCCTACCCTGATCTCACCTGTGACACATTTTTTTTTTGTTCTAGTTTTCTTGGTGAAGGCATTTTTCCATGTTTCTCGTTTAGTTTCAATCTAATTCTTTTTTCTTTCTTTCTTTCTTTCTTTCTTTCTTTCTTTCTTTAAGTATATCATATCTACATTGACGGAAATAAATTGCAACACCCTGAAGGGCGATGCCAATTTGATCTACAGCATACGTATATATATATATATATATATATATATATATATATATATATATATATATATATATATATATATAGTTAGTTAGTTAGTTTATGAAAAACTAGGTAATCCGTGTGGTTAGACCCAAAGAGGATAAAATCCAGCGAGCTCAATATAAATCCAGAGCAAATAATTTAAAAATAAAAACAGACCACTTTAAGGTTCCATGTAATAAATTATTTCACCACATGCCTTTTAAAAGGACTGCGGATCATCAGACTTTACTTCCAAAGGTTGAAACATATATATATATATATATATATATATATATATATATATATATATATATATATATATATATATATATATATATATATATATATATATATATATATATATATATATATATATATGTATATATATATATATATATATATATATATATGTGTATATATATATATATATATATATATATATGTGTGTGTGTGACCGATGTATGTGTGTGTGTACATACATATAGGTATCTCCAAAGATTCGCTAAAAGAATTAACGTACATGATGAAGAAATGGAGAAAATTTTTAGCGTCAATATCTTTTGCGTGATTAATAAGAGGAAAGACCAAAGGAATTTTTGATTCCAAAATAATTTAAAAAAATCCTTTTTAGAATCTTCGGAATTTTGGTTAAAATGTATGTTTTTGGATGTCAACGTGGAACCATGAAAACGGTTGTTTAAAATTACTGGAGGTTTGTTTAGCATCGACAATGCGTTATGACATCATGTGGAAGAAAGACCTATGAGAAAAATATTATACAACGTCCCTGGAGGTCCCCTAGATTTTGAGACCATAGGTTTCAGCCTGCTAAGTCTATAGGTATATCAGGAACTGCCTAAGTTTTTTTTCGGGTTTTTTACCAGCTACTCGCTAATTTCCCCGTACATGTAAACTTATTATGGGAAGTTTTATCGTCTTTTTGCGGTGACAAAAAAATTGATTTGGAAATTCTTGCAATAATCAAATACCAGTCGGATTTTAATGAAAGGACTTACAGGACTTGTTCAGAAGTGAGTTGGGCCCCTCAGTTTGGTGTAATGGTTAGCAAGCTTGAACAATTACGACTGGGTGGTGAGTTCGATCCTCACTGGGTGCTCCATAATTTTGGCCTTGTGCCAAATTTAAGCAGCGCGTAGAAAATCACTATTCAAAAACGAATTAAATTAATTTTTAAATGTTTCTTGTTTAGAAAGTCTTCGTATTTTTGTTATTCTTTTATTTATTTTACATCTGTTAGCCACAATTTAATTAAATTTCAAAATTTCTCAAATTTCTTCATCTGCCATATTGGACGATAGATAACACGTAACAGATCAGTACTCAAAAGATAAAATTCCACGAGACCATCTCTTCTCTACTCCCCCAAATATAGGTTAAATAGCACTGGCCTCTCTAGATTTGATTGGCATGCAGTCTCGGAAAGAGGCAACATTGAATTGAAAAGTAATTGCTCGCGGGGATAACAATTACCACTATATATATATATATATATATATATATATATATATATATATATATATATATATATATATATAAGAATAGATATCCATAAGAATAGATATCCATAAGAATAGATATCCATAAACCTCAGATTACAGGTCAAACAGCCGCGAGGTTCGCGAGCTGAGGTTTGGCTGTCTCTAGTATGTAGAATAGATAATCACGAGCCGCAGATTAAAGGCCAAAAAGCCGCATGTGGCTCGTGAGCCGCGGTTTGACCACACCTGTTATAAACCTTTTCTCACTGACGAAACGTCGTTAGCGTGTCGATAGCCTAACGTTATTTGCACGACAAATATTCTGGTGGAATACATTCCTTAATTCCACGAGTTCTAACATAGACAGGTGAACGTTTGAGAATTCCAGGTGTTGTAAGCTTGGATGTGCGGGTGGTGTAATCGATAATTGCTCGAAAATTGTTAATCAGACAGGCGAGTTTCAATTCCGGTTGGGTTCGTCATATTCACCTTCGCGCAAATACCCTTGGGAGTGGTATGAATCCATCACTTCTCCTCTCAGCTATGGGTTAATTAGTAACTCTTAGGAGCTAAACATATTTTCTGTCTTTAAATAACCTGCAATGGGTTGATAAGCCGTATAAAACGAGTGAATAAATGAATCAAAGAAACACAACAAATATACGCCATGCCACGTACACAGGGTC